CCATCTACCGCTAAAGCTTAAGGTAAGTAATACCTGAATAGCTAGCTATTCATCAGCACAAAAACAAATACCTTCACACTGAAGTGCTGCCTCATTTGTATTTACATGTTTCTAGCAATTATTAAAATCCACTGCTTCACCCAGTTTACACAGGTAAGCATGTCACAGATGAGTAAATTTTATATTAATAAACTGGTAGAGTTTGCCTATTCCTCGTTATCTAAACTGCCTGAAATGGAAAACACACTAGTCCTTTTCCCTTTGTGGATTTCAAGCATTAACTAAACTTGGGTTTAAGACAAAGAGGAGCATTAATAATGTACTTTTCACTAAAATTTGAACTGTAACATCCCTACTTCTTTCCAGAGTTGGCAAAAAACAACGTTTATGAAAGAACCAGCTTTGTCATCTCAAATTAGTTGGCAACATCCCTATAAACAAGACTTCAAATATTAAAAGAGACTGCTTGCTGATTATCAAAGTAACACCCATCATAGCACAAAGATTTAAGCTCTAGTTAATTCACATCAATTTCTCCTCTGCAGCAGAACATGCTGTTTTTCCTTTTTTTCACATGAAAAGCCAAGAGCAGAACACAGGCTTGAGGAAAGCCATATTATAGACTTATCTGAGCAAGCAGATCCATGACTGGTCAAAAAAACAAATATTAGAGAATAAAATAAAGCTTGATGTTCTTAACAGCTAGATCTCCACCGTTAAGTAGAAAATTTAGTTATGATCTCTATGCAAAATATGTATCTGACAAATTGTGACCTGTAGAATCACCCGTGTTTAACTCAAGCCATAACACATTTGAATACGAAGTAAGAGAGCTACATCTCCTAGCATCAGAGAAAATGAGAATTGGAAGGGACCTCAGGAGGTCATCTAGCAACTGTCCAACCCCCTGCTCAAAGCAGGATGAGCCCTGGCTATCTCATCCCAGCCAAGGCTTTGTCTACCTGGGTCTTAAAAACCTCCAAGGATGGGGATTCCACCACCTCTCTGGGTAACCTGTTCCAAAGCTTTCCCACCCTCCTAATGAGAAAGTTTTTCTTAATATCTAACCTAACATAATCTATGGCTCCTTCCTTCTCTCTCATGTCCTTGTCGTGACAAGGTATTTAGCAGAATTCGCAACCACTGGAATCTGGCAGAGTCACAGAGCGAGCGCTTTTGCTACGGCCTCCAACTCACAACCTTTAGGCTAGCCACAATGCGCCTCAGTGCCCGTGCCACCCCAGCCCCCACCCTATGGATATGACTATCCTAGAACATGCAGCCTTTTTTTTTTAATTAAAAGCTGACTCCCAGATAACTGTAACCCGATCACTAAAAGATACCAGGGACAAGCCATCACTAAAAGCTAACAGGGACAAGCACAGAAATGACTACGTGGAAAGTTAGCAGGGCAGCTGCTCCTAGCACTGGGGCCCCATGAAGAAAAGGACCCCAGGGAAGCCCATTTTAGGTACCTCGCTGGAGATCGCTCTGAAAAGATGCTCTAAAACTGCAGCTCCAGCACTGGCTGCCAAGCGACAGGTTTTTGATCGTACGTTTTCTTATTCGAACAAAAGCCACAACGCCGAACGCAAGCCTTTAGAGGCAGTAGCCAAGGCCTGCTCACTCTGTGATTTGTCCAGCAGGCGAGAAAGCTGGAGGACAAAAACACAGGACTATGAACCATCTGGATTTCACTGAGGGCAGCAGGCAGGGAGCGGCGCTGCTCTGTCAAGCCTGGGGAAGCTGCTGTGCCAAGGAGCGTCCCCACTGCTCCCAAACTGGATCCTGCCTTGATGGAGGGAGATGGATGAAGGGCACCCAGGCTGGGCCCCGCACGCAGACCCCAGCCCTCAGACCGCCATCCCCCACTCCCCCCAATTTAGCTTCTCGAGGATTGTCAGTTCATCCTCCCAACATGGCTGCCCTTTTCCGTGCGGAGCGGAGTGGAGCAGGGGGCTGCAGCGCCCCAGGCCGGACCCTCCCCTCCCCCACCCCCAAGAGGCCCCGGGAAGGGGGGGGAGGGGGAAAACGGCTCGTCTCCCCGCTCGGAGGTCCAGAGACGCGGGGGAGAAGGTCTGGCTCCCGGCCGGAGATGATGAGGGGGACCCTCCCAGCCCCACCGCAATCCCGCCCCGCCCTACCCGGGCGCACCTGGCGGCGGCGGCCGCAGTCCAGGGAACCGGCGGCGCTATTAGCAGCGACGGGCGGAGACGGGAGGAGCCGGGCGAGAGCGCAGCAGACGGCCGCCCAGCGCCATCACGGGGCAGCGGGGCCGGCGCGGGGCTCGGGGCGCCCCTGCATCGGGAGAAGAGGATTCGCCAGCAGCGACGGCCCCGCGATCCGCCTCGCTCGAGCACCGCTTCCACACTGAGCGTCTCGGATCGCTCCGCAGCGCGCCCCGCCCTTGGCCCGCCCCGCTCCGCCAATCGCGGCGCGGCGCCGGCCCTCGGACCAATCGCCGCGCGGCAACGCTCGGGAAAGGGGTCGGCCCCATCGCGCGTCCATCCTCACCCGCCACCAATCACAGCCCGCGAAGGGAGAAGAGGGAGGGTGCGACACAAGCGGCCGTTGTCTAGACTCGGCACCGCCCCTTTCGCCAATCCCTCCGCGGAACAGCGAAGACGGGCGGTCCCTTCCCGTCTCGGAACCAATCGGAGTGCCCGCAGTCTTTGGGAGGAGGTGCCAGGACGTTCGCTCGCTCGTTGTACGCGCAGCTGCCGGGGCAGCCCCGCTGCTCCCCCTGGCGGCAGGGAGAGGAGTGGCGGGGCCTGAGCTACCCTAGGGACATGCGCGCCCATGTGCACGCCCAGACCGGGGTGCGGTGCAGCACTTGTCGCTGGACCCACCCCGGAGCTACTCGAGAGACTGCAGCGGCTCCTAGCAGATTTCCTCTGGGACGGACACCACTGGCTCCCGTGAGCTGCCCTTGACCTGCCCACCACCGAGGGGGGCCAGGGCCCGATCGACCGGGCCAGCAGGGTGGCCGCCTACTGCCTGCAAGCCCTCCAGCAGCTCCTGTATGCCGAGGGCCACCTCCCGTGGCGGCAGCGAGCGTGCCGGTTCCTGCACCAAGTGGGGGGCCTTGGGCCTGACCTGGGGCTCTTTATGCTGGACCTCACCTTCCTGAATGGGGCAGCCCTTCCCCCATTCCACCGCAGCATGGTGCGGGCCTGGCGGGCTGCCTTCCATCTGTGTCCCCAAGCCAGGCGCCTGCGTTTCCCGCCAGTGCTTCAGGAGCCCCTGGTCCACAACCCCGCCCTGCGGCATGTCGTGCTGAGCCTGGCCTCCGCCAGCCTCATGGCCGCTCTCATCGAGGCGCACACCACCCACCTAGGGCACCTCCTGGACCCTGCTCAGTCGGGCCGGCTGTCACCCGAAGCCCTAGCTGCCCGGATGGCGCTGCGCTCGGTCCGCACCGCAGGCCAGCTTTTGCGGGCCGCCCTCCTGACTGAAGCAGCGACCGCCCTAGAAGGCTACCTCCAGGCTCACCAGGCGCTCCCCACCACTGCCGGTCATCCCAGCCGTGACCAGTGAGCTGGCTGACTGGCCCAACACACTGCTCAGGCTCCCTGTGCCCCGCAGCAGCAATACAGGCTGCCCCTTCGGCACACTGCCCTGGAAGGGACTCTACGCGTGGGTGGTGCGTACCCAGCACGCCCAGGTGCAGGCCGGCTGCCCCGACACCGTGTGGGGGTGGCGCCTGGCGTGGCCCGGGACCCCAGTGTGGCGCACGGTGTACAAAACCAGCAACCTCCAGTGGAGATTGGTGCATGGCGTCCTGGCTGCTGGCACCTTTGCGCGCCACCTGGACCCGGTGGCCTCGGCGGCCTGCCCCTTCTGCCCAGTGGTGCTGGAAGAGGACATTTTCCATGCCTTCCTCAACTGCCCCCAGCTGCAGCCACTCTTTGCAGCCCTCGGGGCACTGCTTTGGGCACTGGGCCGGGACTTCTCAGAGGAAACCTACACCTACTCCTTCCCGTACCAGCGGGCCAGGCCAAGATGGCCACCCTGAAGAGCTGGCAAAACCGGCTCGGGGACCGGGATGCACGACGCCCTGCAGCTTTTCCACCTGCTGGTGCGGGCCCGCCTCTCTCTTGCATTCGAGCATGCAGTCCTCCAGCGGACAGTGTCCACCTTTGAGGAACACTGGGCCATCGAGGGGGCTGTGCCGAGTCAAGGCCTGTGACGCCACCAGCTCCTCAAGGTGCAGAGGCGCACCCAGCGAGCTGAGACCTTGGGCTTTGTCCAGGCGGGCCGACCCCTGATGTCCTGAGGCCCCCCTGGGTGTCCCCACTGGCAAGAACTGTATGTATGTATATATGTAAATACTTCTTTTGCTCTTTGTGTTTTCGTTTTTTTGTCTAAAGTGTGCGGGCAGGCCTTGCAGGCCACGAGTCCAGGCCTTGTCCTCAAGGCCCAGATCCTCAGACCAACCTGTACATGTTGTCTACTGCCCCGCATTTGTCACCCTCCCCGGAATAAACAGCTCTTAAAAGTCACATATGAAACCACCTGTTTTTCTCCAGGTAAAAATAAAGCTAAAAGCTTTACTCACATGCTCGGGGCCTGGGGCTGAAGAAAAAACAAAAAGAACTTCATTGGAACGAATGCAAAGCGACCTGCGGGGCTGTGAAGTAGGAGCTTCATGACCAGGACCCTGGGGACAGCTGAAGGCAGAACAAAAGGCTGGGGTGACTGGAGGAAGGAACATCAAGACCCTTGAAAAGAAGAGCAGGCAAGGAACAGCCACGGAAGGAAGAGCTCATCATAAGAGATAATCAGGAGTCTGTTTTTTTCCTGTTTAAAAATCACAATTTCTCCGATTCAAAAAACAATCTGCATTTTTCCTCTATTAAAACGAAACACTGCTATATATATAGGTATCAGTTGAACACACTGGCGATGCATAGGGGGTGCACGTGGGTGCACGTCCACCCCCTCCAACACTGCCTGTGTCATTGCTCGCCGCTGCTGGTGGCGTCTACTGGCAGTCCCTGATTGCCGCTGGCCGCCACTGACACCACTGGCAGCATCTGGGGGTCATCGCCAACCACTAGTCGGTGCTTGCTGTGGCTGCCTTCACCCCCTGTTGTGTTATGGCACTGAACAGCCCTGATATGCCAGTGCATGTCCCTGCCCATGCCATTGCCCCTCACTCCCAACCCACAGCCCCCTGCATGCCCACCCTGTCGGTGCCCCTCGCTTCTAACCTGCAGCCCCCTACCCCCCTCCAGCCCTGATGAAGGGGGCCCCCAGCTGCCCCTTGCCCCCATGATGACTCACAGGACTCCAGCGGAGCCACTGGGGGCCAATGCCTGTGGTCTTAGGAGCGGGGGCAGCCGGCCAGGAGATGCTGCCCAGGTTGGGGGGAGTGGGGGCCGTGACCAGGCCATAGGACCAGGCATAGGAGCTCGACTCGAGGAGCAGGGGGTGCTACATGCATTCCCTCCTCCTCCCTCCAGCCAGGACTTGAGTGGGAGCCCTGGGTGGGACAGAGAGCACCTGGAGCCCCTTGCCCTCCTCCAGCTGCCTGCATTATGACCCAGGCCAGAGCTGTGTTGGGCTTCAGGCTGTTGTGCGGGTCCTCCCCATCGCGTTGCACCCCAGCCGGCGGTGTGGGGCAGTGTGCCGTGCCCCAGTTGCTACCTGTGTCACGCAGCTCCCTGTTGCCCCCAAAGGACCCTCTTCCCCTTCCTCTGCTGCAGCGCTGGGCTCACTGGCAGCACCAAATACTGCCTCAGACCCCTGCCATGCTGCAGCCCTGGTGCCTGGACTCCTTCCCCCAATGTTGGCATGCACCTACCCCGCATCCCCTCCACACACCCCCTACCACACACACATCTGCCCCTGGACAGTCTCCAAGCCCTTGCCCTCCAACCCCTATGCCCCATGGACTTACCTGTATCCAGTTGCTGAGGCTGCTCTCACCACCCTGCCTGGCTGTATGCTGGCCGCATGCATGTGCGCACGCAGATGCACATGGAATCGCTCTCCCCTGGAAGGCTGCCAGCCTGCAAGGGGAAACCCAGAGTTTCCTGCAGTTTTCTTCTTTAAAGGGGAAAATCCGTGTTTTTCTGCAGCAGACAGAAAACCCAGATCCCGGATGACAAGCCACAAAATCAATTGACTCCCTCAACACTGTTTGTCTAGAAAAGCCAGGCAGTTGGTTTTAAACTTTTGGTAGAGCCGGAAACAAAGCGGGGTGACAAGTGGACCAGTGTCCCCCTGGATATGCGTGCGCGCGCGCACGCGCACGCGCACACACACACACACACACACACACCCCTTTAAACCTAAAGTTCTGATTCCTGAGCAAGAAGGGTTGGAGTGAAAGCCAACAACAGCTAATGGGAACCGTGTGATTTATTCCAATCATAGCTGGAATAGGGTTGCTGACACCAGTGACTCAGAAGGGGATTTTTGCTTTTTTTGGTGAGAGTGAGCTCAAGCCGTCTTCAGCCTACAGCCTAATGTTTTCTTTATATGTTCCTATGACCCTTCACTTTCATTAAAGTGTTTAAGTAGGTTCTGTAAGCTATGCTGTATAAAGATGTATTTGAGTGCTTTAAATAATAATGGAGTGTGCCTTTTTGTTTCATGCTAAAAATTGATTTGTGGCAATGACCAGCTTCAGATCTCTGCCTAACCCACCACAGACCTCTGTTCAGTGCTCTGACCAGCTGGAATGATACTATTTCTTTTTTTATCATCACTTTTTAGAGTTCTACTCTACTGCTGTTAAATATAGGAAATAATTTGTTAGCTCTAGTAAAAAGGAGAAAGTAAAAGGGAAAAGGACCAGGCCTACAAAATCTGCTTTAGAATAGTCAAAGAAGCACATGCAGTAAGAAGCAGAAAGTGACACTGCACTTGGCCTTTAGAGAAAGCCAGGTTGGGAAGACAGAATGACGTGAACTCAAGGGCCATGTCCACACAGTCATGGATGTTTGCTTCCCCAGGGCCAAGAAGCAGCGGTACACCATGTGCCACTGCTACTTTTCCTAGGGGAATACCTGTGCCATGCACCCTCTGGCATGCAGCAGGTTACCCTGGGTAGGGTAGGGGACATGGGGCCAGCAATGGGCTGGCCCCAGCAGTCTTACCTGGGATCCTGGGGGCCTCGGGGCATGGTTATCCTGCTGCTTGGAGCTTGTCTAGCAGTCAA